TGTGAATGGCTTGGTTTCGGTTTTAACCTAATCAAGATCTTCTCCGCATTGAGCTTCTATATTTCTCTAATATTTTGAATGAATAACACAGCAGCGGCGCATCTCGTGGGCTAGACTAACAAAACATTAAAATGCAACAACGTCACTTACATCACTCACCGCATCTCGGGCGCCCTGACGCACACCTAACATTCAAATGCAAATGTTTATTTTAAATTCGACTAATATTCATTCTTTATTCACAATCTCCTCATCACAGGCAGGTACAGCACTCATTTCAGCATGTGTTCGTGTTTGTGTGTGCTGTCTGCGTCAATCACAGCACGTGCCTATATCGTATGCTATATTGAACATTTTTTCTATCGATATCGAAGAAGGTGTACCGTCGATAAATATCGATACCGTTTTATCGCCCAGGCCTACGTCATTATTATAAGAATGGATTGGAGCACTGCCTATTATTGTTTTATGCAAAGGTGCTTTGTCAATGGTAGCGCTCGCTAACTTGCTCAAGGACTCCTCTCTGTGCCAATCACAGCAGGCTTGACCAGCTGACCAATCAGAGCAGAGTAGGCTTATGGAAGGGAGGGGTTTGCTCCGAACTTGCTTGGAACGAATCGTTTAGAAATCATTGGCAAATGACTCGGTATTATTAAATATTCTGAGAAAATTACAATGTTTTCTGACCTTAGATGCATTTAAACCTGCTGTAGGGGACTCCAACACAATATTAGGACACTTTAAAATACCATATGACCTGCTCTTTAAGTAATTTAGTTAGGCAATCAAATAGCAACAAGGTTGCCTATAGAGATGACATGTATAGATTGGTTGAATGGTGCACAGACAACAATTTAAGACAAAGGAGCTAGTCATAGACTTCAGGCGACATCGAGAGGAACTTCAGCCCTTGGAAATAAAGTGAGAGGAGGTGGAGAGAGTGTACAGTTTTAAGTTCTTGGGCATCCATGTTAGTGACCTTAAGTGGACTGTTAACACTGCTGCTCTGGTCAAAAAGGCCCAACAGAGACTTTACTTTCTCCGAACTTTGAGAAAGGCCCATCTCTCTGCCAGACTGTTGAAGTCGTTCTATCACTGTACGGCAGAAAGTATACTAATATACTGCATTACAGTCTGGTATGGAAATTGTTCAATGGCTGAAAGAGCTGCACTGCAAAGGGTTATTAAAATCTCACAAAAGATTATCAGACTTTCACTAGCCCCACCCTTGAGGACATCTACAGGCTTCGCTGTCAGAGCAGAGCCTGTACTATTATCAAGGATGAGTTATAAAAAAAATTCACCCCCCTCACAGTTGTCATGAAGGGCAAAATTAGCTATATAGACCAAAATCATTTTTTGAACCAGGCTGTAAATATGTTTTTTTCTGCTGTAAAGTTGGGCATTTTAACATGGGGAGTCTATGGATTTATGGGGAGTCTATGAATTACCATTGTGTATGAAATGTGCTATATAAATAAACTTGCCTTGCCTATGGGATTGACTCCCTTTTGCAGCCAGCCTCTAGCGGCCAGTTGACGAATTACAGTTTAAGTCACTTCCTTCTTGGCTTCAGGAGAGAGAGCAGGAGGTTGCTGCTTGGACAGCACTCACCCTTTTCACAATCTGTTTGCACTACTGCCATCTGGAAGACGCTACAGAGCTTAAAAGACTCACACCTCCAGATTCTGAAACAGCTTTTACCCAACAGCCATAGGCAAACTGAATTCTTTCCTCCATGTTTTTCTTTCTTCATAACTACCCCTAGAATTTTGAAAGGATGGACTGTGCCATACTACTGCAATGAAATGTACAAGTAACTTTAATATTGGTTTTTAGGTTTCTTTTAGGACTAATTCATCTCATTTTTTATGTTTATTTATTTATTTATATGCATGGTTTTTATGAGGGTGAATGTAGATGGATATAGTTGCATTTCCATGAGAGATACGAAATTTCGTTGCATGCTACTTGCAACAATAAAGATATTCAATTCAATTCAAAATAGCAGACAAAAGTGTTGAGAATAAATTCAAATATCCGAGCGACACTTTGTCTGTATATCAATTTTTGTTCATTAATAAATGAAGCCTATAGACCTTAAGCAGCAAGCATGAAGCAGCACTATTCCATGGTTAACTGTAGGAATTTGGGTTTGTTTGTTGTGCTCACAAATTCAAGTGGTTCAAGTGGACTCAAAAATCCACCAAGTGTCTGACTTCATGACATGCCATAGTTTTGTTTTTGTTTTTTTGCAAGAAACACATGCACATTGACATGTTATAATGTGCAGTGTTGTACATAATTAGCAGAACAATGTAACATAATTTTATGTAGGCTATGTATATATGTTACATTACGTCATACTGCCTTACAGTTGCTAGTACAGTAAAACACTAAAGGCTGTGTATTATCTACCTGATAAAATATTTTAGAGCTTGGCATTATCAGAAAAAAATATTCATTATAAAAATGTCAATTTTTGAATGTAAGTTGAAATAATTAGATGTTTTAGCTTATTTTAATTCTTCTTCTTCTTCTTCTTCTCTTTTTCCTAACAATCATTTTAAGTCATTTTGAGGCCTCTTGGTTGACAACTGCTGCTCTTAGATGATGTTGCAGGAAATTAATTCCCAAGAAAATACAACATCAAGTAACAAATCCTTAGAATATAGAGAGCTTTCAGTATAAACCAGTTTTGAGAGAAAAACAAATAGTGCTGTGGACATTTTTGGATATTATTTGTATGCATTGACATATATGTGTTATTTGTTTGTTTGTGTTATTTGGCAACTTGACTGAATTATGAGTATTTGTGACCCTGGACCACAAAACCAATCTTAAGTCGCACGGGTATATTTGTAGCAATAGCCAAAAATACATTGTATGGGTCAAAATTATAGATTTTTCTTTTATGCCAAAAATCATTAGGATATTAAGTAAAGATCATGTTCCATTAAGATATTTCCTACTGTAAATATATCAAAACTTAATTTTTGTTTAGTAATATGCATTGCTAAAGACTTCATTTGGACAACTTTAAAGGCGATTTTCTCAATATTCCAGATATTCAAATAGTTGTATCTCAGCCAAATATCTTATCCTAACAAACTATACTTCAATGGAAAGCTTATTTATTCAGCTTTCAGATGATGTAGAAATCTCAATTTTGAAGAATTGACACTTAAGACTGGTTTTGTGGTCCAGGGTCACATTTGTGCTTTCTAAATATGAACATGGTTAAACATGCTTGATGATGATTTCTGCATAGTTTTGTAGAAGTCATTACACAGATTACAATATGAGAAAACAATTAATAGTTTTCTTTATAGTTTTCTTTACTTTTTTAATGTTGACCAGTAAAACTCTTAATCCACTTTTTAGAAATGTCTACGTTTGCCCCAATATTTTTGAACGACAAGGGCCTTAAAGTGTTCCCAGACTTTTTAAATTGTAATTTTTTAAATTACAATTTAAAAATTTAAATTGAAAATAAATTGTTCATACAGCCCCTTAATAGTCATTTTAAGTGTTGATGTTTATCATCCAAATACAGATCACTAAAAAGTCTACAGCTTACAATAAATTATTACCAGCACTGAAAGATTTCACACGGAAATGCCATTTGAAAACAATGAACAAAGATGACGTGTGAATGTTATGTGTTAAATCAATAGGGCTAAAACCAGTTTTGCATAGTTTACCGCAGCATCCAGTAAAATGTGTCGAGAACACATTCATTGCATTTAAAGAGACACTAACCTAATAAATAAATTGCTTATGTTTTTCAGGAAGGAAAGGAGAAAACCAAAATCTCACTAAAGTAACTTGTAACATGTAAGAATAGCATGGCACAGCTCTATTACATATTCAAAACAGCTGTCCTAGCAATTGCATCTGGCAGTTGATAAAATAGCAGTATTTTATTAAATTTGAATATACCAAAAAAGAATCTTCATACTTGGTCTAATTTAACAGTGTGACAATTCTGAGATATTTACAAATAACACATAGTATTGTGATCATTTATCAGCTGCATGCCCTTACCTATTATTAGTCCTTTGTTCAGTTCTTTAGGTTACCATAAATGTAATAAAATCCACATCATATTGCGAAAAATAAACGATATAGATAAGCCTAATTTTTCTTCCTTTTTGAGTGATGACTAAACTAGTCAGATCTTTTCTTCCAGTTAAAGCTCAATCAGTTGATGCTTAGTCTGCATTGCAATTTTCTTCACTGCTGTCACAGGTGGAGCAGCACAGAGACATCCTTGAAATGTAAAGCATGTTCCTGAATTCGCACATCATTACCTGAATTTCAGCATTGCATATCTGTTTGACGCTTTCTCTGTAATTGCCTTAGGGAAGCTTAGCTGATCTCACTTTACTTTTTCTAAGATAATATGCTTTTAAGAATAAATTTAATATAGTCTCTAACAAAAAAATAATACTTTCAGATGTTTTCATTTCAGTCTTTTTTTTTTATCATGGAGAAGCTTAAATCAGACCTCTACTGGGCAGGACAGCAACAAAGCAGCTGACGTTTTTAAACGTAAATAATAGGATGATTGATGCTGCATGTTACTTTCACAGATTGTCTGTTCAGTGTTATAAATGACATTTAGAGAAAACAATTCTTTGAGTAACATAATAAATTTAATATAGTCTCTAACAAAAAAAATAATACTTTCAGATGTTTTCATTTCAGTCTTTTTTTTTTTATCATGGAGAAGCTTAAATCAGACCTCTACTGGGCAGGACAGCAACAAAGCAGCTGACGTTTTTAAACGTAAATAATAGGATGATTGATGCTGCATGTTACTTTCACAGATTGTCTGTTCAGTGTTATAAATGACATTTAGAGAAAACAATTCTTTGAGTAACATTGCACAAGAAGGTTGCATTTGTTAACATTTGTCAACTACATTGTTAACATGAACAAACAATGGACAGCATTTATTATCGTATGTCAATTTCAACATTTACTAATACATTTTATACAGTCTTAATATCTGTTGATATTGCCTAATCCTCTTTGAATTTACATGAATGATCAATGAACAATTTTATTTTTATTAACTAACAAATATTAATAAATGCTGTAAGAAATATATTGCTCATTTTAGTTCATATTACATAAAGCATTAACTAATGACTGAGATCTTATTGTAAAGTGCACAAAATGTTAAATTTCTTTTATATAGAATACAGGAACGTAGGTTGTATTCCTAAATTGTGGTGTTCATTTTCAAATGAAACATCCTGAGACCAGACAGAATAGCTTTAAAAGTATCTAAAATATCAAATGTTTGTATTATAAACAGCATGAAGATAAACAATTCTATTGTGGTAGCAACAACTGATAAAGATAACATGAAACATGATACAATAGTAATATTGAAATACAGTAAGCAGTTTCATATACAAGACATGATGCCAGTCAGGAAGGGAACCTTCCTGGCTTCATGGGGAAAAAGCAGGTAGCACCGTGTGTGTGTATTATTAACCCAGCAGATATCAATACAATATCAATTATTATATCAATATGACTTGCGCATTTCAGAATATGGTTTTACTGTCTGTGTTAATGGTTTTGAAAGCATTAACCTTTATTTGGAGACTATTAGGAATTAAATTGTATTGTTATTTGGGTAGCACTTTATTTTACAGTCCTGTTCCACATCTACATACTATGCACTTGTTATAGTAATTACAATACTAACCCTGAATCTACCCCTAAACCTAACCCAAGTAATTACCCTATATTATCCTGTACTTTCTTAGGTAAGAACACTGTAAGTACAGGTAAGTGCAAATAAAATGCAACCATTATTTGTATTAAATCAACAAAAAATATCTATATTAATATCGAAATTGTTACGATTTCAGATAAATGTGTAAAATCATGCGTAAACTATAGTATAACCTATCATGTGCTGTATTGGTCAATGACCAACACACCAGCTCTTGTGAAAATCATAACGTGTATGAATGTGCTGTCTAAATATTATTATATCCATCTGAAACGAATGACAGCATCCTCATTGCTGAGCATTTAACCCTGTCAGCTGCAAAACATGCAAAACCTGTTTTTGTGGTGCGTGTGAAGAAAATTGTCTTGATTTTGTTTTCGATTCAGACAGAATTAGTACTAATATTGTCAGTGTCTGAATTGCTAACAGTCTACATAATCATTCAAATTATCTACATATCATATACCAACACCACAACCCATTTATTTTTCAGATAGAAAAGTTGCACATTGTGAGTTTTGCCTTGAAGTGCAAATAATTACATATTAAAGGGGTCATATGAGAGACACTTTTTTTTATGGAAGGGTGCTTTTTATTTCAGGTCTTTTGAGACGAAGCACTGTAACACCCGCTGAGTGCAACGATAGAGCTTGAAAGATCAAAGACAATTTTTAATATAACTCCGACTGGATTCGTCTGAAAGAAGAAAGTCATATACACCTAGGATGCATCGGGGGTGAGTAAAACACAGCCTAATTTTCATTTTTGGATGAATCAATAACATTTGACATAGAATTCTTGTTGTGGAAAGAGCATCCTTCTAATGTGGAAAGACAAGTCTTGTTAAAGGAGTATAATATATTGCCTGGCAAAAGATTTTGTGGGATAGATAGATAGATAGATAGATAGATAGATAGATAGATAGAAAATCACTGCCTGGATTTAAACAAGCAAAATAATTATTGCAGTGGCATATTCTGGCATGTTGCATGTTTGGCAACAATTCTTTTAACCTTAAATGATGCAGTCAGTGTGTAGATTTTAATTTCTCAAAAAAACATACTGGAAGACGTGTCCATGTACATATTCCAGGATGACAAAGCCAAGATTCATCAGGCTCAATTTGTGAAAGATTGGTCACCACAGAGTCCAGACTTTAACCCACTGAAAGTCTTTGGGATGTGCTGGAGTTGACTTTACACTGCCTGTCCAAAAAAAAAAAAAAAAGCTGCATACTATAATATTTTGTTGGACCACCTTTACCCTTGATTATATTTTGAATTCGTTTTTCAGCAACATCACAGAATTAATTTTCATCAAGAGTTGCATTAATCTTTTTGGCAGAGATCTTGTATCGACAATGGGAGAGCCTGGAGAATCTTGATATTGTCATCCTGGAATATGTACATGGGTACGTCTTCCACCAAAAATCTACATACTGCATCCGAATTGTTGCAAAACTTAGAACATGCTAGAAACGTGCTAATCATTGCAATTATGATCCAATCCTAAACTCTTCAGTATTTGCTTATTTAAATCTAAATGGCAACTTTTTGGCCAGGCAGTGTAAAATATATAATTTATAGGTCCATTTAAATTAAAGACTGATAACGTGAAAATAGTCTGCTGAACTTCAATATATGGATCAACAATTTCAACTTTTTTGCTTAAGCTTCCCTGAGGTAGCAACAGGCAAGCTGGTTTATTTACATAGTTTAAATGCATAGACTTATTTGGCCTTTGAGGGCCTTTGTTAAGACTTTTTTTCCGACACTCCTAGTCAATGTAATCTTCTAAATAAAACAACGCGAACACAGAAATTGCATGGTAAGTGGCATACAAACCATGAAAAGGAGCAGTTCCAGACTTGTTTCACAGTGGCAATATAAATGTAGTACAGTTGGAAGACATTTTCCTTTTTACATCACCACATAAAATCTAGTCATTACAAATATTTTTTAATGTGATATTTTTTTTGTTTTTTTTTGTTTACTAAAGACATAATTACCAATAGGACCTAAATAGTTACTTTTTCACAGTTTCTTCACAAAGACAAGAAGCATGTTTATTCAGGCACAGTTGAAACAGTGCCGTAGTACAGTTGAAGCACTAGTTGCCCTAGCACATCTAATGCTTTTAAAGTAGATTAACTCATTTGTAATGTTGAAATGATTCAGAAGAAACCATTCTCCAAAAATAATTTGAATTCAGCTCTTCATTTTATTTCTGTTCTTCATTATGTACAACAATTTGCTATTTAATTTTGCTATGGCAGAATATAAGAGTTAAAGGTGCTGTATGTAGGATTGACACCAAGTGGTTGAACTAGGTATTGCAGTCCAAATTCAAAATATTGGAGAGGGTTTTTTTCACCCGGCCCCTCCTCCTCAGACTTGACGCACACGCAGGTTGCCAGATTGATGACACAACAGGAACGAACGCAATTGACGATGAATGTAACGAAATACGCTGTGTTTTCCGCCAACTGGCAACCCGGGGTCCCGAAATGCAATTGGGTAAACTGGCAGTGGGCGGGTTTCACAAACCAAAACAGAGACCGACATTCCGGCCCCGGAACGCACATTTTCAAAGGAGAATAACTGACTGTAGTATTGTTTTTCAGATAAACAAGTATGTTAACTTAGCATGTTTCTTAAATATCTGCAAACATATTATGGTATTTTTATGCTTTAGTAGAGTCAAAAACTTACAAACAGCACCTTTAAGAACAGTTCATCAGTAAATCGCTGAACTATTAAAGAATAAGCACTCAAATTAGGAATAGTTTATTGAAAGAAAAAAATGGCATCCATGGAATAGTGGCAAGGCAAAAACCACTGCTAACCCAGAAGAACATGAAGGCTCATCAATTTTGCCAAAACACAACTTGGTGATCCTCAAACAATTTGTCAGAATGTTTAATGGACTGATGAGTCGAAAGTGGAACTGTTTAGAAGACAGAAAAAAGCAAAATTAAAGTTTTGCAGTGGGCCAGTTAAAGTCCTGACTTAAACCCAATTGAGTTGCTGTGGCAGGAAACCCCAACCCAACCTGACCAGTGGCTTTACCATCTAACGGCGATAGAGAGTGGTTTGTCAGCAACTCTCCCAAGCAATGACTGGGAAACTTGATCCTTTGCAGTTTGCTTACAGAGTTGGGCATGGAGTTGAAGATGCCACCCTCACTCTGATGGATAAGTTTGGAAAATACTTGGATGCGGCAGATATTCTACGTCAGGATTTTATTTATGGATTTTTCTTCTGTTCTTTTAAAATTGTATCCTGGTTTAACTCTCTTTCTGTTAAAAGCAAAAATCA